CCCGGATTTTTCCCGGATTTTCCCGGATTTCCCTGACCCCAATCCCGGATTTTGTTCCCCCAGGAGCTCCCGGAGCCGACCCAGAGCGCGATGGAGCTGGGTGGGTGCGAACGGAAATTCCAATTTAATTTCGTTTAATTTTAATTTAATTTTAATTTTAATTTTGATTTTAATTTAATTTTATTTTTATTTTTATTTTTATTTCTAATTTTAATTTTAATTTTAATTTTAATTTTAATTTTAATTTTAATTTTAATTTTAATTTTAATTTTATTGGTATTTTTATTGGTATTTTAATTGGTATTTTTATTTTTATTTTTATTGGTATTTTAATTTGTATTTTTATTATTTTATTCTACTTTATTGTATTTTATTTTATTTTATTTTACTTTACTGTATTTTATTGCATTTTATTGAATTTTATTTTATTTAACTTTATTGCATTTTATTTTATTTTATTTTATTTTATTTTATTTTATTTTACTTTATTTTATTATACTGTATTATACTGTATTTTATTGTATTTTATTTTATTTTATTTTATTTTATTGCATTGTATTGTCCTGTATGTAATTTAATTTAATTTATTTTAATTTAATTTTATTTTATTTTATTTTATTTTATTTTATTTTATTTTATTTCCCATTTTTCCTTCCCCAGAGGAGCGGGACCAGAGGATCCGTGAGTGAAAATTTTCATTTTTTTTTTTTTCCACCCCTGGCTCTGATTTTTCCTTAAATTTGGGATTCTGCAAAATCCCAAAAAACAAAACAAAAAAAAATTCGGGATTTTGGGATTTTCCCTTTCCCGGATGGATCCAGACCCGGAAAAAATCCCAAATAATTTTAATTTTAATTTAATTTTAATTTTAATTTTAATTTTAATTTTAATTTTTCTTTTTCTTTTTCTTTTTATTTAATTTTAATTTTAATTTTAGTTTTAATTTTAATTTTAATTTTATTTTTAATTTTAATTTTAATTTTAATTTTAATTTTAATTTTAATTTCAATTTTATTTTAATTGTTTCAGGCAAACTGACCTCGGACCTGGGTAAGGAGTTTCATGGGGTAAAATTAAATTAAAAATTAAAATTAAATGGAATTTAAATTTAAATTAAATGGAAATTTAAAATTTTTTAAAAATTAAATTAAATGAGATTAAAATTTAGAATTTAAAATTTAAAATTGGTTTTTTATTTTTTGTTTTTTATTTTTTATTTCCTTTATTTTTTTAATTTTTTTTATTTTTTGTTTTTATTTTTATTTTTTATTTTTTTTATTTTTAATTTTTAATTTTTTTTAATTTTTTGTTTTTTATTTCCTTTATTTTTTTGTTGTTTTATTTTTTTTTTATTTTCTATTTTTTATTTTCTATTTTTTATTTTTTATTTTCTATTTTTATTTTTTTTTATTTTTTATTTTTAAGTTTTTTATTATCTATTTTTTATTTTTATTTTTTATTTTTCATTTTTTATTTTTTTCTTTTTTCTTTTATTTTTTATTTTTTATTTTTTATTTTCTTTTTTTTAATTTATTTTTTTATTTTTTATTTCATTTTTTTTTAAATTTTAATTCTAATTTTTTATTTTCCAGGTGAATCCAACGCCAAGCTCAGTGAGTTCCCTGCTCCCCATTTTGGGGCCAAATCCTCGTTTCTGAGGGAAGTTTGGGGTTCAATTAATTAATTAATTAATTAATATTATCATTTACACACCGTTAATTAACACTAATTAATATCAAAATTAATTAAATTCTCTTTTTCCTGTTTTTTTTTTTTTTTTTTAAATTTTAATTTTTATTTTTTCCTTCCCAGAGGAACGCGACCGGAAAATCAGTGAGAGACTTTTGGGGTGAAAAACCCGAATTTGGGGAATTTCCCCAAATTTCCCCAAATTTCCCCAAAATTTCCCCAAATTTCCCCCAAATTCCCCCAAATTTCCCCAAATTTTCCCCAAAATTTCCCCCATTTTTCCCCAAATTCGCCCCAATTTTCCCCAAATCCTCAATTTCCCCCAATTTTCCCAATTTTCCCCAAAATTCCCAATTTCCCCCAAATTCCCAAAATTCCCATTTTCCCCAATTTCCCCAATTTCCCCCCAAAATTCCCCAAATTCCCAATTTTCCCCAATTTTCCCCAATTTCCCCAAAATTCCCAATTTTCCCCCAAATTCCCAATTTTTCCCCATTTTCCTCACTTTCCCCCAAAATTCCCATTTTCCCCAATTTTTCCCAATTTTTCCCAATTTTTCCCAATTTTTCCCAATTTTCCCATTTTTCCCCATTTTCCCCAATTTCCCCAAATTCCCAATTTTTTCCCCATTTTCCCCCAAAATTCCCCAAATTCCCATTTTCCCATTTTTCCCCAATTTCCCCAATTTCCCCAATTTTCCCCAAATTCCCAATTTCCTCCAAATTCCCATTTTTCCCAATTTCCCCCACTTTTCCCAATTTTCCCCATTTCCCCAATTTCCCCCCAAAATTCCCCAAATCCCCAATTTCCCCCCAAAATTCCCCAAATTCCCAATTTCCCCATTTTCCCCAATTTCCCCCAATTTTCCCCAATTTTCCCCAAAATTCCCATTTTCTCCAATTTCCCCAAATTCCCAATTTTTTCCCCATTTTCCCCCAATTTTCCCAATTTTCCCCATTTCCCCCAAAATTCCCATTTTTCCCCAATTTTCCCCAAATCCCCATTTTCCCCATTTTCCCATTTTTTCCCAATTTCCCCAAAATTCCCATTTTCCCCATTTTCCCCATTTTCCCCATTATTCCCATTATTCCCATTTTTCCCATTTTTTCCCCATTTTCCCATTTTCCCCATTATTCCCAATTTTCCCATTTTTTCCCCATTTTTTCCCATTTTTCCCATTTTCCCATTTTCCCCATTTTCCCCATTTTTCCCATTTTTTCCCCATTTTTCCCATTTTCCCCAATTTTCCCATTTTCCCCATTTTCCCATTTTCCCCATTTTCCCATTTTCCCCATTTTTCCCATTTTTCCAATTTTCCCATTTTTCCCATTTTCCCCATTTTTTCCCATTTTCCCAATTTTCCCATTTTTTCCCATTTTTCCCATTTTCCCCATTTTTCCCCATTATTCCCATTTTTCCCAATTTTCCCATTTTCCCCATTTTTCCCAAAATTCCCAATTTTCCCAATTTTCCCATTTTTTTCCCATTTTTCCCATTTTCCCCCCGTGTTTTCCAGCCCAGCTCTCGGCCGAGTCTCGTGAGTGAATTTTTTTTTTTTTGGGCTCAATTCCCGCATTTTTGGGCAATTCCTGAATTTTCCATTCCCGGTTTTCCTTCTGGTCCGGCAGGGCGGCTCACGGCAATGCTGGGTACGCTGCAATTAGCGCTAATTAGCCGTTAATTAGCCGTTAATTAGCCTGCAATTAGCCTGCAATTAGCCGTTAATTAGCCTGTAATTAGCCTGTAATTAGCCTGTAATTAGCCTGCAATTAGCCTGTAATTAGCCGGCAATTAGCCTGTAATTAGCCTGCAATTAGCCTGCAATTAGCCTGCAATTAGCGCTAATTAGCCTGGAATTAGCCGGCAATTAGCCGTTAATTAGCCTGGAATTAGCGTTCAATTAGCCTGTAATTAGACTGTAATTAGCGTGTAATTAGCTTTTAATTAGCCTGTAATTAGCCTGTAATTAGCGTTCAATTAGCGATTAATTAGCCTGTACTTAGAGTTCAATTAGCGTGTAATTAGCCTGCAATTAGCGTCTGATTAGCATTTATTTAGCCTGTAATTAGCCGTTAATTAGCCTTTAAACACGTGATTATTATTGTTATTATTATTGTTATTAATATTGTTATTATTAATATTGTAATTGTTATCATTATGGTTATTATTATTGTAATTATTATTATTATTATCATTATTATTATTACTATTATTATTATTATTATTATTATTATTATTATTATTATTATTATTATCATTGCTATTAGCGCTGTGTGATTTCTGTGATTATCGTGATTAATTTTCCGTGATTAATTTTTGAGGTTTTTAATTATTTTTGGTGATTTTTGTGAATTTTTTTTTATTTTTTTTCCGATTTTTTTTTTGTTTTTTTCTCTCCCCGCAGCCGAGCGCGACTCCGGGATCCGTGAGTGACGGAATTCCCAAAATTCCCAAAGAATTCCCGAAAAATTCCCGAAAAATTCCCGAAATATTCCCAAAAAATTCCCCAAAACATTCCCGAAAAATTCCCAAAAAATTCCCCAAAAAATTCCCCAAAATTCCCAAAAATTCCCCAAAAAATTCCCAAAATTCCCCAAATTCCCGAAAGATTCCCCAAAAAATTCCCCCAAAATTCCCCAAAAAATTCCCCCCAAAATTCCCCAAAAATTCCCAAATCCAAAAATTCCCCCAAATCCCCAAATTCCCAAAATTCCCAAAAAAATTCCCAAAATTCCCAAATTTCCCAAAATTCCCCAAATCCCCAAATTCCCCCAGAATTCCCAAAATTAAAAAAAAATTCCCGAAATTCCCAAATCAAAAAATTCCCAAATTCCCCAAAATCCCCCCAAAAATTCCCCAAAATCCCAAAATTCCCCAAAATTCCCAAAAATCAGAATTATTAGGATTAATTAGTATTTATTAATTTTATTAACAATTCAATTGTTAGAATTATTAGGATTAATTAGTATTTATTAATTGTATTAGTTCAATTATCAGAATTATTAGGATTAATTAGTATTTATTAATTGTATTAACAGTTCAATTATCAGAATTATTAGGATTAATTAGTATTTATTAATTGTATTAGTTCAATTATTAGAATTATTAGGATTAATTAGAATTCATTAATTGTATTAGCTCAATTATCAGAATTATTAGGATTAATTAGTATTTATTAATTGTATTAGCTCAATTATCAGAATTATTAGGATTAATTAGTATTTATTAATTGTATTAGTTCAATTATCAGAATTATTAGGATTAATTAGTATTTATTAATTGTATTACCAATTCAATTATTAGAATTATTAGGATTAATTAGAATTCATTAATTTCGTTTCTCTCTCCCCAGGGAAGCTCCGGGCTGAGCTCGGTGAGGAAAATTCGGGAAAAAAAAAAAATAAAAATTCTTTATTTTTGATTTTTTATTATTCATGATTGATTTTTTATTGCTTTAATTTAAATTTTTCATTCTTTTTTAATTTTAATTTAATTTTTTATTTTTTTGTTTATAGAATTTAGGGGGTTTATTTTTTATTTTTTATTTTTTATTTTTTATTTTTTATTTTTTATTTTTTATTTTAATTTTAATTTTTATTTTAATTTTAATTTTTATTTTTATTTTTATTTTCATTTTCATTTTCATTTTTATTCTTTATTTTTATTTTTATTTTTATTCATTTTTATTTTCATTTTTATTTTCATTTTCATTTTTATCTTTATTTTTGTTTTTATTTTTACTTTTATTCTTTATTCTTTATTTTAATTTTAATTTTAATTTTTATTTTTATTTTCATTTTTATTTTCATTTTTTCATTTTTATTTTCATTTTCATTTTTATTTTTATTTTTGGTTTTGTTTTTGTTTTTGTTTTTATTTTTTATTTTTTTTTTTATTTTCATTTTCATTTTTATTCTTTATTTTTATTTTTATTTATTTTTATTTTCATTTTTATTTTTCATTTTTATTTTCATTTTTGTTTTCATTTTCATTTTCATTTTTTCATTTTTATTTTTATTTTTTATTTTCATTTTTATTCTTTATTTTTATTTTTAATTTCAATTTTTCTCCCCCAGCCAAGTGCGACGCCACCATCCGTGAGTCCCGGGAATTCTGGGGGGAAAAAAAATAAAATTAATTAATTAATTAATTAATTAATGACACGAAATTTGGGGAAAAAAAATTGAATTACACAGATT